CTCACTCTCCTGTCAGGCTCTGTGCAGAGTCCCAGGGTGAGTGATCTGACGGGGTGTCAGAGGAGGGTGTGCACAGTCCTCACTCTCCTGTCAGGCTCTGTGTAGAGTCCCAGGGTGAGTGATCTGACAGGGTGGGTTGTACTGAATGAATAGGCCCATGTATCTCATTTTCTCCTGAGAGACTGCAATATTTGTTGGTGGTCTTAAAATGGGCAATTTCCAATTGGGGGACCTGTCCCTGAATCTGGGCTGATGTCTACAGATGACAGACTGGAGAGCCTAGGGGACACTGGCAAGGTCTCGTTTCCCAAAGACTCAGGGGGGAATTGTGCGCTGCTGAAAAATAGAATTCTGGCCAGATTCAAAGCACACACTCTGCAAAGTTTTCCTTTGCATGAATGGAAAATATTTTTTACGACTGTCATGACGTTTTTTTTTTCATTGAAGTCCTGAGTCACTGTAGCTGAATCATTATTCTGTGAATGCATCTGATTATCCTTGAAACATGTATAAAATCATTTTCTGTTCAATTTTAATTGTAGTAGCTTCAAGCATATCAAACACTGGTGCTGAGGCTTGTCGGGACTTCTAAGCGTGTGATTTAATATTGCACCTTTTTTCAGCCGTAAAGGCCATGCAGACCTCCGGGCGCTAGGGGGCGCTGTGGGCTGATGGTGCGGGCGAAGGGGAGGGGACCAAGACTTCGCTAGAGGCCACATCCGGGTCTTCTCTCGCGCTGTAGGCCCGCTGGAGGAGTGGGAGGAAGGATTGCGACGCGGTGGGAATTTAATTAATTAAGAAATTATCGCCTTTCTCTGGAGGTACGAAGGTTTTCCCGGGACTTAAGCCGAGCGGGTAAGTTATCGAAAAATAAGTCATGTTTTGTTTTATTGGGGGGTAAGTTAAGGTCTTGGGATCTACCGGCGAAGCCGCGGTCTGGGATGTTGACTCTGCAGGGGTAGATGAGCTCGGAGGCGGCGGTGGCTCTGGAAGCGGAGGCGGTGGAAACCAGTGTAAGATTCCGCGGGTGAAGGCGGCTTCTGTGCAGTTTGTCCGGGAAAAGAGGGCGAAACGCAGCTTGGACACTTCCAGTTTCTGAATGACCTGGAGGGAACGGCTCCCGTGAGAAGGCGCAGCGGGTGCAGAGAGCCCTCTGGGCCGTGTGTGTTCCTGCTGCAGCCGCCCGGGCTGCGAGACGGAAGAGGCCGCGGCATTGTACTCGTGGGCGCCGAAAGCAGCTCGATACGGACGGTGTTTCACGGTGCACGCAGTGTTGTTCGCGGTTAAGAGGAAGTTGATCGGGAAAGTGTCTCGGCCTGAGTTATCCCTGCGGCCGTCTTTTGTGTGGCAGCGGTGCGATTGAATGAATGAATGACGTGGGGCTTCGGCGTTTACTGACAGAGCCCGCGGTCGCCGAACCTACCGGGCTCTGCCCCCCGGTACCGGCCTGGGTTTTTTTTCCTCTGGTTTCTGTGCAACACTGGAAGGCTAGTGGTGGGCTCATTCGCTTCGCAGGGGGGACACTGAAGTTTTCAGGACCGCCATATTTCTTATGTGAAAGTTGACGGTACCGCAGGAAGTTTACAGGTGTGGGAGATGGGGGAGGAGAGGGAACACATTCATCCTGTCTTTGCTGTTTCTTGAAAGAGGGCGGGGACAGCTTGTTCCGGACCCCCACCACTCTTTGTGTAAAGCAGCGCCGCTTGTCCGCAGTCCCGAATTCGCTTCCTCGGTGGGGTTGGGGTAGTTTCGTTTGCCTGTTGTGAGTTTCTCTTTCCGAGAGAGGGAGTCGTTTCGAGCGTGACTACTCAGTGCGGGTTATGAGCGATTGGTCTTCAATTGTGTGTGGCCAGCACGGTGCACTTTAAAACCGAGAGGCTCGCGTAGCTGAAGCGGGCCGTGGGGAAGAGGTACAGGGCGCAGAGCAATCACAGAGTGGAAGTTAAACCCCTGGAGACGGTTGTTTTAAGAGGCCAGAGTCTCATGACCTTAAGAGAGGCTGTGGGTGGGCAGGTTCTGGCTGGATCTCCTCTGTTTCTGGCAGAGATGTGAAACTTCATTGTGAGTTAGCCGGGAGCTGCGCGTTTGGGAGAGAGCCTGGCGTGCGATCAAGCGGCTTGCTGATGTGTCCTGGAAAACAGTCCAAGTAGTTTTATTTGAGTGACTTGAACCAGAAGATGGCGCTGAGAGAGCAGGGTTTTGGGCTGCTGGAGTTACCCTGCGGCCTGGGCTCAGAGACTGTGACTGTAC